ATGTACACTTCCTAGACCATGCAGTCTTCAAAATAAAAATTGTAACCTTTGGTAATCAACTACATTTTCCACATACATAGAAATTTTTGAAACTTTATTAAAAAAAACCTAAAACATAATTCACCACTATTAACACTTTTTGACAAAAATGAAAAATTACGATTTTGTTACCCAATGAGAAGTGTTCTAATATAGACAATGGGTCGTGTCTCATATTATTTGTTATATTTTTACTATTCATTATTTTCACTTGACTTCCATAAATAATTTTGTTCGAAGAACATTTATATGCAGTTGTACTTCGCAGCACTTCACTTGCAATTTCTAGTTTTAAAGAGATATTTAGGTCTGGGTCCTCAAAAATTGAAATGACCCTCCCATTTACACCCTTGACTGATTCGTTGCCAGCACATAATAATTTATTCCTTGTAACTTGGTTAAACTTTTTCCGAACATTTCATTCAAATCAGTTGATCCGTTTTCGAAATATGTGGTCTGGGACGTTTTTCTTTAAATGGTCCTCAGATCCACACCATACTGCGGATTGTCACAAAAATTTAATCATTTTTTTACGAGACCTTTATAGAGTATTATAGAATGTTTCATTGAGACCCATTGGTGTTTTTTTAATGAGATATTTAGGTCTGGGTCCTCAAAAATTGAAAAGACCCTCAAATTTACACCCTTCACTGGATTGTCACTAACACATTAAAATTTCTTCCTTTTAACTTGATTAAACTTTCCTGTAAGTTTCATTCGGATCAACTGACCGGTTTTTGAAATATCCGTTGTAGACTGTTTGACCTTAAATCACTTTGGTCCTCACACACACTCCCTACCATAGATTGACACGAAATATTACACATTTTACATCCTTGATATATGACCTATGCTTCGGCAAAGCACGGAAAAATTATAAGCATGGGAAGTGAAGAAAGTGACGGCCGGAAAAAAACAGTGCAAAAAGAGAGCAAATATATATGCAAGAAAAAAGGAAAAAGAAAATCAGAAAAAAAAAATGGCTTTTCCCAGTACTGCTGGGAAAAAGCCAATAATATATACATAATAAAAATCTTTATTTACACACAGAAGCAAATAACACTTAAGGGTGTTTTTCAACAATATTATAACAATATTAAAACGAGAAAAGGTAAAGAAAAAAAAATACCGAAATAATAATAAACACAATATACAAATATAACGGTTCAATGAACATGCACCAGTAACACATGTTATGACATTTAGTGCAGTTCTTACATCGTCTGTATGATTGTTCCATAACTTAGCACCATGGTGACTGAAACTTTTCTTCTTATACTATAGGTTGTGTTGGGTTTTCTGACCTTTACAACGTCACTGGATCGTGTGTTATACTTTTTTTTCTTTGAGTGAAAAGTGCTTAGTCAGAAAAGATGGTGACAGCTTCACAATGATACAATTTAGTTTTAAGATTTTCCCATTGTAAGGTCTGCAGGGCTTGTGTACATCTCTCTTCTTTTTTTAAATTATTTTTTAGCTTTGCTTTGTAGAACTTGTAATTTATAATTTAGCTTTTGATAGGATCTACCCCACACCACATTACAGTACTGTAGTTAAAGTGTGGGGCAATGATTGCTTTATACATGAGAGATTGCTTTATACAATAGAAATTAATTATACAGTGGTCCCAAGTTGGGAGAAGTCACTTCTGGGAGGTCCGGGGCAGATTGCTATAAAACGGTTTTAACTGGTAGTATGAACTCCTCGAATAACGCCGGCTTTATCACTTAGACGGTCTTACTAATGTCATTCCTCTAATTGCTATAAAACAGTCTTCCCTAAGACCGCTTTGAGTATTGAAACACAAACAAGCACTCCCTGTTAACGTAAGATTGAGGGCGACGTCATGCGTGCTTGACGCACACAAATGTATCAAAATGAACGTAAATAAATGTAGACCCTATTTTTACAGATGCTTATAAGCGTGTGGAATATTCGTCGTTCGATTCTCCAACTTTGACGATCTAGGCCTAGGTCTTGCCATTGCACTGCTGAATTAATCAGCAGAACGCCATAATGAAAATGATTTATGACCGTTTTAAACCTCCTCCGAGTAGGCTTTAAACAAGACAGCTAACTGGTTAGACCGCAGTATAGCAATCAGGCCCTTAGCCAGGTTCTTCCAAGGGGGGAGGGGGGTTTTCTGGGTGTGAGTTCCACAGTTGAAGCCCCAGTGGGGTCAGTCAGCAACACCGCCAAAGCAAGAGGATTTTTGTGCATTATGGTTCTAAATAATGCTATAAAAGCAGATATGTTTGAAAATGTCTGTGTCTGGGTGGGTCTGCAGTGCATTAGTTGGGCTGGAGGACTTATTTGGGAAATTTAAAGAGGAGGTATCGCCAGAAAAGAGGGGGGGAGTTTGCTACAAAAGGGGGTTCTCCCGAACCATTAAAACTCCCCCTGGATACGGGCCTGGCAATGGTCTATAATCATAGACCAGCAGTGACATCACGGTTATAGCTGGCTAACCATTAGGACAGTCTAAAGACCGCTTACATCAAATGATTGATCAAATTTATTATAAAAAATATGTAAATAATAATAGGAACATTAATACAATTTTTCTGTTTATTTATGAAAAAAACAAAAACCAAGAACTATTGTAATTTGCAGGAGCAACAACAGTACTGTACTACATTTTCTTCAACACTTAATATTCAATATCCTCTCATAGTTTTATGGATTACAAATATAATAGAACAATTTTTACTTACCAAAGCAATATTTCTTTAAGATTTCTCTGAATCTAGAATGAATATCCAATACACTTAATGGATTCACAAGTTTTGGAATATCTATAACAAAAACATAGAAAACCAATAAAGACTGGGAAAAAACATGTATGCTCTGTAGATATGAAAAAACACCTTGAGGAGTGGAGTTGAATAGTTTGGTGTTTAAGATGCTTGTTTGCCTTCCAATCCCAGGACATTAGGTCCAAATCTTATGAGTAAATCTACTCTCAAGTACTCTGACAATGGAAAATATTTCAATTACATATCCTGGCTAACCAATTGCTACCATAGTCAACACAGTATACTGGGAAACAATACCCCTCCCCCTACTCTTTTGGAATATAAAAATAAAAATATAAATATAAAATAACATAAAAAGGGTGATGACAATATATGTATAATAATAATAATAATAATAATAATAATAATAATAATAAAATAAATACTATATAACGATAGCTTTTTACATATATTTTTAAAGTTATGATTCTGGTTGGTCTCTTTTGTATGATTTTTGGTGATTTATATTTATACACTTACTATTTATTTAGTTTTATATATATTATTGTTGTTCGATGTTTATAAATGATTTAACTTATTGAGTATTTCAGTCCTGTTTTAAAAATTGCCCCATGAGGGATAAATAAAGAATTATTGAATTGAATTGAATTGAATAGTGTACCAAGTTTTTTTTAAAATGTGAATGTGCTATTATGCCCATTGGATGAACGGCTTAACACCCCAGGACCAGGTAATCACAGCACATTGTCGTTCCCAAAAAAAACATTTATAGTACAGTTCCCCCTCCAATTAAAGACCACTTTTATCTGGATTATTTTTCTAATTAAAGACCAAAACTGCTAAAGACCATGAAAACCTTGGTCCCTGAAGCAGTATTTAATTCGTCGCTCATATCACGAACTAACACAATCAAAGTAGATTATGTTAGTTCGTGAAATCACAGTAGCGCGTCAAAACGAGCACGCATTGGTTGACAAGCAATTTTGTATTCTTTACCACACAAAAAGTCCTTAACAACAATAGCGCGTATTTTGACGCGCTTTCTTAGTTTCACAAACTAACACAATCTACTTTGATTGTGTTAGTTTGTGATGTGAGCGACGAATTGGAGGGAGACCTGTATTAATACATGTATGGAGAACCAGGTTTAACCTACCTGGGTTTAGCACAACAAGAGTAGTTACTAAAGCAATTTCTATGCCATCCAGCTTGGCATTCTTCAGGTCTTCTCGAAATTTTCTTGTCTCAGCCTCCATCCCTGCAGTGAAGGCACGAAGGACTTCTACAGTCAAAAATGTGTCTGCAAACCACTCAAACTTCTTGTCATCCTTCCATGACAACTGGATAAGAATCATAAGGAATGTACCGGATTTGATCAGAGCCATTTTATCATTGACATCCATTTTCTGGAAATCTGTAGAGAAAAAAAACCAAATAATAAAAATCTTATTCATGTTTTATTCTCAAAAATTCCAAACCATAAATTCCTGACCATAATTTTTGTTGTACTTTACCTTTTGTAAATTTATATTGGTCGAGTAAATAAATGAAATGAAATGAATTCAAAACATACAGTATGAGATGGTTAACTAAGAGAGTGAGTGGACAGAAACCAAAATATGGACATAATCACTATAACTTAATATTCCACATCCCGAAAATGATAGGAAAAAAAGTTTTTGCGTTTTCTGTATGTACAAGGTTTCATGATTCTGATGAGTATGGTGCCACCACCAGACACACAAACAATAAATATGGTTTCATACACGTAATTCATCAAAATAACGTCTCTGAAACCATGAATATTGTCTGTGCATCCACTGGTAGCACTATTATGCTACACATCGTAATTATTCATTTCTACCATATTAGAGATGTGCAACTGAGATTTCAACAATTTTAAGTCGCTCTCTCCATGAATTTCGGCTTATAAAATTGTAACCACAGGGCTAAAACCCAGTTTAAAGCATCAAATATATTATTAAATATAGTGGAATTTTGAAATATAGGCCTACAGTATATATACTGTCTCTTATATATATGTATATGTATATATATATGTATATATAAATATTTCATTTCATTTCATTCTTTATTTCGGAATTTGCATATCCATATCTATAATCGGTTTAAGCATATAATAATAACAACAAACAAAAATCCCTAACGACTAAACTGTAGTTTCTATCGCAATAATACATATATATGAAAAAAATGAGTATCGTGTATATTATACTTATGCATACAAAATACCACTCCATCTTTATACATTTTAGAGTCTAAAAGAATATGTTTGCAAACACATGCAACAAGAACATTGGTACTACTCAACATACGCTGCATAAAGCTGTAAACTGATTTTCGCATGTATTCATTAAAAGATGGGACGCTGTGGTCGACAAATATTATGCTAGCACTGCTGTTTCTAGGAACATTCAAAATTCGACGCAATGCATTGTTGTAGCATACATTAAGAGATCTAATGTTTTTTTGACGGTAATCACACCATAAAGCAGCACAATACAAATTGATACAATATGATCGAAAGAGACAGAATTTAACATCTTTAGAGCATTTCATAAATTTACGATTAAGAGAGTTGCTTCTAATACACCTATACTGTCTTTGAATATCAGCCTCATCACAACTATCACATGTAAGAATGTGACCAAGATAACAGCCTTTTTCAACATATACAAGTTCTTTACCAAAAAGTTTCGTTATGGATTTACCTTCCAATTTACACTTAGCTTTAAAAGCAAATTGATAATCACTAGATTCTAGTGTGTTACCACAGAGACTTATTAAAATCGATTCAAACACCTTAGATATTACAGATGCTAGAGCAATAGGCCTGTAATTATTCTTATTAGTAATATCTCCTGATTTACTCTTAACTATCAGAACAAGAATTACTTTAACCAGATCTAAATTTACATGACCATGAATCAGCATAGAATTGAAGCATATACTCAATAGTACACTGAGTCGCTTACTAGCACACTTAAGATGTTCTCCGCCTAATCCATCAAAGCCAGGTGATTTCCCTATGGATAGTTTATTTATACAATTAAAAACAATATCGGGGGTAACATTTATACCAATAGGTAAGCAGTATTCTAATGCTCCTTCCACGAAAGCTTTATTCGTCGTGTTATCTACACAGTTAAACAAATTCTCATAATATTTAGCCCAATGATTACATATGTTGTTCTCACTACTAACATTATCAATAACCTCAGATACATTAGATCTTGAGTCATTAATACATTTAACACCTTCCCAAAAGCCACGGTAATCCTTGTCACTGAGTAACTGAGCCAACTTATCAGCCCTAAGTTGTTCATCATTATTCTTACCCGTGCGTAACGCTAACTTAAAACGAGATCGAGACATTCTCATTGAGTGGAACAGTGGCCCATCTCTAGGTTTACCATTGGTTCTCCAAAGAAGGAAGGCTTCACGAGCAATACAATGTAAATCGGAAACATAATCATTCCAACCCGGTACAATATTATATGATCTAAATTTCGAAGGCTTCAGACAATCACTAGATGCACATTTAAGACAAGTAACAATATTGCTGTAAAGGTCATCGATAGCAAAACGATGACGTTCATTTTTACAGTTAACATTATTACAAGATAACAAATCAGGGCATATTTTAACATTACTAAGTAGAGATTCAGTGAAGGAAGAATAAGAGTCAATATCATTAGCATTTACCTTACTCCAATTTACATATTCATGTCTAGATTTACTGTCATTATCAGGACATTTAAACTGTAGTAATTAAAATAGAGTATTCAAACAATAAAGGAAATGGTCAGATCCCAGAACATCGTACGCTATATCAACCTTAGTCACACATACATTAGCTCCATGAGTACACATGGTGTGATCTAACCAACTTGTGGTTCCATGCGATTCACTCAAGAATGTAAAGTTATCTGAATCAACACCTAACTAAGATAAATCTGATAATACTAAATCATTTTCAGAAACAAAATTTAAAAATTATTTACCAAATTTCTTTTTGATGTCAACATTAAAGCCACCACAAACTACAACTTTGTTGCTGTGAAATTCGTTGACAGTCGTTTGGATTTTACCTAGATAATTAATAAACTCAATTAAATTATCGGCATTATTGTAATAGGGGAGATAAGCATTAATAAGGAGGGACAAATTATCACTGTTTCCTACTGTAATTGCAACCAATCTTTTATCATTTAGATCTACCTTACAAATAAAATTTGAAAAACGTTTTTCTATAAAAGATGGCCACTCCACCAAAAGGGCGACCCAACAGTATTCCGTCAGAACTACAAACCAAAGAGACACTAATGCAGTCAAAGTCAGCATTAAAATATATATTGGCCTACTTATTCTTTAAAAAAACACATATTTTTGCCAAAAAAAATACAAAAAGCCCAACCAAGACTTTCGAGATACTGATTAAGTTGGGCTTGGGAATTTTTATACCTCCTTGGCTTTTGCAACACAAAGTTCTATTTTTGCTGTGAGTTAATGCCAACTACTGAACACAAAGAAATATTTTATTCTTACCAGGGATTTTCTTAGCAAAAATGATGGAGGAAGCAATATACTTTGATAGCCTCTGTTGGAACATCTTCCAGTTCTTGTCATGAGGGTCTGGCTTCCCAACAAACTGAGACAACTACATAAAAAAATACAATTAAAGCTAAATTTAACTAGACATGATAACAACACAACAACGACATATCATCGCGTAGTTTGTATTCTTCAACGTTGGGCGCATCTGTATTTTGTCGTCGTGTCATAATCGTCTCTAGTGTAAATGTAACTTTAGAAACATGTTAAGTAGATTGTGTTTCAGTAGATAAATTTTAAAGGTAGGGTGTTCTTCCATGGGCCTAGGCTGTGGGTGGAGGGGGTGCATGGGTGAGCAGTGGACCCCTCTGTGATGAAACTTAAGAAAATACTACTAGGTCCTGGCTTACAAAAGGCATGATAACCTACCTAGGCAGAGTTTGGCAGATCAGACAAACTAGGCTTAGCCCAACTAGTCTTCAATTAAATAAATTATACACACTGTTTTTGGTTCGACTTCGTAATAATTTATGTACGAAGTGCATCCTTCAGGCCTATCGGTTCATCGATCCATGGAAGAAAGACTACATATATTTTTTCTCTACATATAGGCCTAAGAATGAGATAAAATTACTTGACCTTTTCCGAGAGGGGGAAAACCCTTGAGAACTTATTGGTCCTTAAATGACTCTTTAGAAGTCAGGAACGCTCATTTCCCGCCATCTAGGAATCAAAATTTTTCCCAAGGAGGACCCCCCCAGACCCGCCTTTCTTTTTTAGGGTTTTTTTGGAAACATTTTGAACCTCCTTTTTTTCAAATCCTGGACCCGCCCCTGGGGGAGAATTCAAAGTTTCTCTATCACTGAGTTATATTACTACTTCTATCCCAAATAAAAGACATTATTTACCATGCGAGTGGCCTTCTGGTGTTCTGGTGAATTTTCGAACATATTGAAGATAAGAGTGAGGTCTTCAAATGCTTTAGATATGTCAAACATATCAGTATCCATCAGAAATGTGTCAAGTTTTGTTAATCGCTGTTTACGCATCTCTTCCATACCTGGACTAAGCACCACATCACACAATTGGCTATCCTGCAGCCGAGAACGGACAAAACCTACATATGAAGCATCTTTCTCCAACTCGACTGCATACTCCGTCACTTGCTCCGTACTATCATATGACTCACAACTATCAGGACTACTATCAATATTGCTTTTGTGTGATTTCACCTTGACTTTGTATGAACTATGTTCAGCACTGGGTACTGAGTTATTTGTTCTTGACTGTGTCTGCTCTTCAGTCTTAATATTAGTTGGTCCCTGATGAGGCACATTTCTGCCGATCACATCATGATACAATTGTGCTGTTTGTAACGCATGATTATAAGTAACGTTTTTATAACCCGTTGCCATTTGAATCCCTGCTTCACTATCCATAAATTGCAATGGTTTCTCTTGAATAAGCCACCTCGGATCAAAAAGATCACTTTGGTGACATCTTATAGACGGAGGTAGATTACCATACTCTTCCTGATGCAACGGAAACAGGATTGGTGAATTCCGCGGCGAGCCATGCAATGAAGTAGGTGGTGTGTTGTTTTCAATGTAACCAGAAAACTTTTCCATACTGCTCCAGTTTACAGGTTTACGCTTCATCGAAGAACCATTGCTGTGATATTGTCCATGACCTCTCAACTTTGAATCAAGTTGATAAAAATTCTCCCTCTGGTATGGTAGCAATGGATCACAGAAATGACTACTGTTCATCAAATCGTGTGTTAAACAATGACTTGCATCAACAGAGGGCTCCATGTGTGGCATTTCACACATTTTAGCAGGAATATTTTGGTTATACACATCTTGATGCTCATGAGGAATCATATTCCTTGGGTCAGACAAGGCTTCAAAAACAGCAATTTCAGTTTCCTCTAGTGCATTAGTCGGTTCTGATAGGACATAACCTCCAGAGTAATCCCCAAAGCCGGGAAGATCCATGAGGAATGTGTCTCTAAGATAAATCTCTAGATCATCCGCATCTTCTTGGGAATAGCTTTCCAGTCTTGGAACTGGGATGTTGTTTTTTGCACTTTTCGTAATAGGTAAGTTATTTTCCAAAAATTGTGGTGGCCCTCCTGCACCTGCATACTGTGCAGTGTCATACTTCTGGTGTCTGCCTAATTTGATACCTGAATGAAATAAAGAATATTGTTGTCATTATTAAAGAAAAAATTCAGTCAAAATGTTTTGTTGTATTTGATCTAAATTTCAACGGTTCCTTCTGTGTGTATAATTTTCCCAATGATTTTCTCTATGCTCTGTTCTCGGTTTTATGCGCAGGCTTACATCCCTGGTTCTCAAATTATTACAAGTTAGTTACAGTATAAAATTTAGATTGTGAGATTGAGTAATTAAAGTCAAAAATATATTGGCTTAAAATGTTAAATGAAATCTTGATTTCCTGTTAAAGCTATCAAACTGGAAAAAGAACAAAAAAATCAGCCAAGACAGCCTATTATATTTTCAAAATTTGGGAACATTAACAATGTTTTGGGCAGATAAAATTTAGATTGTGAAATAAGTAAGTCAATTAATATTGATATTAACTTTTAAATGCCTTCAAGGACTTGCACCTCCCTATTTAATTAATGTGTTTGTTTTTCTTGACGATGATAACAACAATTGAAGACAAATAATCATCTTTTTATTCCACAATGGAAAACATGTCAAGGAAAACAGACATAAACTGGAACCAACTACCTAGCAATATAACTAGGGATTTCCTGAATTTTTATTTATATAACTTTAGAAATGCTCTTAATTAATTGGTCTCTCCTCTATTTTTGTAATTAAGTCCTTTTGTTTTATTTTCCTTTTGTATTTTTATGTTTTTACTGTAACTGGACCACAACGAAAACCAGTGCCTTTGCATTGAGCATGCCATCCAGTATAAAGAAAGTTAAATAAATAAATAAATAAATAAATAAACATATGTTTACTTAAAATGTTGAATGAATTCTTGATATCCTGTGAAGCTATTCAACTGGGGAAAAAATCAATCAAGACAGCCTATTATATTTTCAGTTGGAAAACATTAACAATGTCTTTAAAATTGCAAGACATAAAAAAGGCATTTTCTGTTATTTTAAAATTGGCAACATAAAATGTATTTGAAAAAAAAATCACAATCTAAAGGCAAAGAGATATATTTGATTGATTTATCTCCTATTTTTATGGAAATGGGCAAGAAATATATTTCTTATGACTGAAATTGTACACTATGTCGATTTAAGTCAAAATAAAAAGGATTTCTCGTATTCCCAGCTAGGCACCAGTATGGGAACACAATATTTCAATAACTTAAAAATGAACCTATAAGAAGGTTGACAATTTGGAGCTTGAATCCTTTTGTAAGCATTCCAATAGAAAATGCTTTAATATGTCTTGTGCAGATTCACATTAAAATTGTAAGACATAAGAAAGGCATTTTCTGTTATTTTTAAAATTGGCAACATAAAAATGTATTTGAAAAAAAAAAATCACAATCTAAAGGCAAAGAGATATATCTCATATTTGATTGATTTATCTCCTATTTTTATTGAAATGGGCAAGTAATATATTTCTGATGACTAAAATTGTACTCTATGTCGATATAAGTCAAAATAAAAAGGATTTCTAGTATTCCTAGCTAGGCACCAGTATGGGAACACAATACTTCAATAACTTAAAAATGAACCCATAAAAAGGTTGAAAATCAGGGGCTTGAATTCTTTTGTAAGCATTCCAATAGATAATGCATAACCGTTTATATATTCAAAAACAAATTATATTGCATGACAAATCAATTCATTCAACTGCTAGGTCAACGACACTAAAAACCAGATAATAATCCAACCATTGGGACTAATATTACTGTACCTGGAAAATCATATTATGAAACTCTTTAGGTTTTACATTAAAATAAAAATTCTTTATAGTTTATCTAAATTCAAGGGAAACAAAATCACTTCTTGACTTAGATTTAATCTCTATGGAAATGACTTATTTGTCCTTTCAATTTTTAAAATATTTCTGACTGCCAAGTTATTAAACTATATCAGCAAAAATTAAATATTCCTAATTTTCTCTTCAATTATGTTTAAGTACATGGAAATATTTAAATAAGCTTAGGTCTCACTGGTAAGTACCTACTTTGATCTATTTATGGAAGATTATATTAGAGGTATTATTTACATGTATGCAAATTACATTAAATACCAACTGGGTTTGTTTTAATTTGGTTGGATATTTTTAGTGGGATCAGCAGTATATTAATATTGATCTTGGAAGCATGCAATGCCAAGGCCTACATGTTTTAATATACTAATACATTTTTGTAGTTAAAAAAAGAGTAATTTATTCATTTTTTTTTTATAGACATTGAAACTAGTAAAGTATTATTGACATTTTGTTGACATCTTAGGAATGGGGGAGGGGGAGGGGAAAAGAGGCAAAGGAAAAGTGAGAATGCTTGCTGGGGAAATAAGTTGATTTTAACTATTTGTAATTTTTTTGTTCAACAAAAGTTTTCATCAGGTAATGTCACTGTTATAAAATTGGATACCAGTAATTCTCCTTCACCTTCCCTTTGTCATCACCTTGTCCTCTTTGTTCTTTCGCCTTTCCTTTCCCATGCCTCCTATATGTTTTTCCCTCTTTATTTCCTCTCCCATTTGCATCTTTTTAATCCCTATGACAGTGCCTAATATAAAATTATTAGTTATATATAAACATAACAAATAATTGTACCTTGCAATCAGTATAACAGGACTGCAGGACCAGAATTTAACCACAACATAATGAGAAGCTTTAATATTTGTATTTTCAGATTGATTATGTTCGAAAAAAGATAGTTTGAACTAATCCTGAAATATTTTGGTTTAATTCAGAGGTGGCGCCAGAATTTGCCCGACGGTCCCCGACGGGGGGACCGAGGTCCCCGAGAGGGAGGACCGTGGTCCCAGACGGGGGGCCAATGCCCAGATGAGGGGTCAGATTTCTCCGACGAAAGGAAAGTGGGCGTGGTCAAGCTTTGATTAAAAGGAATTCGAAAGTGGCCCAGGGGGCTAAGCCCCTGAAAATTTTGACAATTTAGGGGTTTCAAAGGGGGGGGGGTGCCACCCCTGGTTTATTTACCTGAACGAGACATGCCAACTTCCAAGCATTTCTGGAAACGACAATATCGGCAAACGTTTCTCGTTGATGGTGTGATGTTGCACTGTTTATTGTCAACACATGTGTAATTGCTGCTATCACGCAAACTCCGGCGATAGAAACCCTGAAAATATACGTAAACTTTACAAAAAAAGTTTTTGATTCAAAGGCTTATTTCTTTTTAAATCGTGGTGGAAAAAAAAATTATATTAAAATTTTTTTTTTCTAAGGTTTTGTAAAAAACATCTAGATGGAGGAGAAAATAAAAATAAAATTTTATTGTTGAATGTAAACAGTGTAGTAATGGGATGGTTTAAATGTTTTAAATTTATATAATTAGGTAGAAATATACATATCTTATTTTTGGAGATTTCAAGGCAGCGGTGGGCGTAATAAATATAAAGAAAATCTTTAATTTTTTTCTGAAACTTCCATTTTTTTCGTAGCGAGAGGTGCGCTAATTGGCCAAAAATAAAATTTTATTTTTATTTGAAATCATCATTATTGCGGGCGACGGGTTCGCTAAGCAATGTAAAAAAAAGTCTTGCCTAAGTCAGCTTGTTGTGTTATGTGCACTTCGTTCAGTAATTCTGTTTATTTTAAATATCACACATGGTATAACAAGGCATGTAGAAAGTTCAGTCCATACTATCAAATTTTACAAATGTTACAAATTTGTGTGATGTGCCCATATTTGGGTATGATGATGTCATATAACACCCAAATATGGGCATATCACATTTTTTGTCGCATGAAAAATTTTAAAGTGCGGACAGACCTTTGCAATGAGCAAAGAAAGAGATTCCTCTAATCAAGCTTTAATATTAAATGTACTGAAATGATAAGGCAATGCTGATATAATTCATAAAGTTTACACTACATTTTTATCTGTTTAATGAACATCTATCAAGAAGTTATATTAGACCTACTACATACTAGATTCAAGTTTATCACACACCATCAAATATTTGTTCATCCTATCAAAGGGTACAATACACTACCATAACAAGTCAACACAGTTGTACTGATCATATCACTTAGCAACCGGTTAAACGCTAACACCAGCAGTTTGATCAAAATATATTACATATAAAAAAAAAGATGACTGGTTTAGAAAGTAATTACCGGTACTGTCAAGTTATTTAGGACACTATAGAAAATAGAAGCCATTATTTTCTTCAAAACTTGGTTTAGGGCTTCCGATTTTTTTTTTTTTTAAAGGAAATAATGGCTACATAAGGCTCCTATTTTTTCTATTTTCAGAAGCTGACTATACTGTAATTGGGTGAGCATAACACGCACCTGTACACCACTAAGTGGTTATACATCATTTCATTTCATTTATTCATCAACAATAAAATAGACAAAAAGCATAAATATAAAAATACAATGATGGCAAGGACAACCAAATAAAACTCAGAAGAGCTTGTAAATCAAGGTGTCCGATGTAAGAAAAAAAAATTATAAAAGGCCAAGTAAAAAACAATGACCAATGCCAACAACAGTAAGCACTATGAGTAAATTGAATAAGGAAATACACTCAACACCACACACACACCAATGCCAAAAGAAAAACCAAAAAGCAAATAGGTGAATAAATAAATAAGTGAATAAATAATAATTTACTTTTCTTTAAAAATATAAATAATGATTATGATTTAAAAATAAATATAAAAATAAATAAATAAATATTAAATAAATAAAGTAAAATCAAATAATAAAAGTAATAAGGAATAAAGAAAATAGTTAATAAACAATAAAGATAATATTATAATAAATATATTTATAGTAATTATAATAATAATAATAATGATAAAAATAATAATTTAAAAAAAAACCAACAACAAAAACAACAACAACAACAACAACAATAATAACAATAGTCTGAAATGTAGTCGGTAGGGGCAAGGGGGAATTGAAACAATTAAAACAATTAAATTATCTATGAAATGTAATTATTTAATAAATTTGATTTATACAATATAACTTTTTAAACACGTGAATAGAGCCAGCAGTTTTAATATCATTTTTGATGTTGTTCCAAATATGAGGACCAGAAACAGTAACACTGTGTCTGGTACATTTTAGTTTGCGAAATGGAGGCTTAAGATTATTTTTGCCATATAGTATTGTAATTGTGATTGTTACCATCAGTAAAATGTTTTAGATTTAATAAGCAATACCAATACCAATAATAATAATAATAATAATAATTTGATAACTGTGAATTTCTTTGAATTTGAGTAAATTATATTTGTGGAAGAGAGGATCCGTTGGGACAACACACTCAGACCACGTTATGGCACGAATTGCTTTTTTCTAAAGTTTAATAACCTTACTTTATACATAATCAGGAAAAGATAATATTACAATAGCTGATAAAGGGTTGAACAAGGGATTTATAAATGGTAAGGAGTAAATGTAAAGGAAGATAGTGGCTAGTTTAAAAGATAGGCTAACATATTTCAATAATTTGAAACCTATTAAATCAACAGGTGGCTTAAAAGTAACAAATTCATCAACCAGGACGGCCTAAAATTTAGTAGTCATTGTTTGACTGATGGGTTTACCATTAATATTAATAGAAACATTATTAATGTTTAGGTTGCTTCTTGAGTTTTAAACACAATGAAATCTGCTTTTTTAAATATTAATAGAAAGTTTATTATATTTCAGCCACAGGAACAGTTTGGTGAGTTCAGAATTAACAAAGTTGATAAGATTATTAAAATCAGGGTTAGATAAGAAAATACTAGTGTCATCTGCAAACAAAATCATGTTTACATTATTGATCGAGTTAAAAATATCATTGATATAAATAATAAAAATAAGTGGTCTGACTATGGAGCCCTCCGTACTTGATTGTATCATGGAGGTATTATTGAGAAGGAGATCACTCGAAAAAGTCATGTGCCCGCAGCGCTATGCAAATGAAACAAGAACGAAGTTGCCGCAGCGCGTGAAGTACGTTTGCGCGATGCCTTTGAACTCTGATGTGTTCCCTGCAATCAAATGCTCAGCAAGCTTAGTTTACAAAAAAATTGAACATGGCGAAATGGAGAACACCTTCTTTTCTCAACAGTCAATGGCTGCGCAATTGTTTCCATTTTTTTAAGCTGATACATTTATCTCTCATGAAATATCAAACATATTAATATTTTCCACAAAAAAAAATAGTTTCAAATTTAATGAAACATTTACATGAGGCTTGAAAATATAGTATATTTCAACTTTGATTTCTATAAATTGGATAAAATTTGATAATTCTAATTTTAACAGATATTAATTAATAAATGATTGAGGATTATAATAAACTAAGTCATTTTAGGGTTAACGAGGTTTAACTATTCGAAAAATCAATCCAAAGTCAGAGTGATTTTTCAGTTTTACGCTGCCTCAGCATTTTAGTCAAACCAGTCAATTTTTAGACAAAATTATAATGAACACAGAAGTAATTGTAACAGAAATATTTTGTGAAATCTCTTCGTCAAATATACCCATAATAACATACTAAAAGTTCGAAAAAGTTCAATCAGGGGAACACTGTTAATTTTAAAGATATTTAATGAGTTAAAATCAAATGGTTTATTGCACAACTGCTGTGTTGAAGCGTATAAAAGCATGTCGTTGCCAAGCTGTTGCTAACGAAAACTTGGTTTGCCGCATCAAAGGAAACTGTTGCCGAGTGATCTCCTTCTCAATAATACCTCCATGATTGTATTAAGTTCAGAGGAAATTATTTATTGTTGTATATTGCTGTCTTCCACAGATATAATTTTCAAACCAGGTAAGTGCTGTACCCCTGATACCATAATGCTGCTTGATGGTATCAAATGCCTTACTTAAGTCTATGAAAATTCCAATAGCTGCCTCCCCTCTATCAATATCATTGTGAACTTTTTCAATAAGATTTAAAACTGCCATAAAAGTTGAACTCTTTTTTTGAAATCCATATTTTTCTTTATTGATGATTGCATGTTTATTAAGGTAAGCATAAAGATTCATTCTAAAATTTTTGAAATAGGCGAAAGGATAGATATATATTATATATAAAATATGAGAGAGGGGAGGCAACAATTGGAATAATATTTTTTATTATTCTACTACTTATTTTATCAATACTTTCAGAGTTTGATTTTATTCTATTAACAATATTAATAATCTCGGTTTTGCTAGTAGGACTAAGGAAAAATGAGTTACAAAAGTTACCACTGAATATTGCTTGAAATCAGTGTCCGAAAGTACTGTAAATTTTATCTGCAAGGTTTCACCAAAATCACTGAAATGTTTATTTAAAGCATTAACAGCAGTCTCCTGCTTAGTATCTATGGCATCAAGGGATACAGCACTATATTTTCCCCTACCGAGAACATCATTGATAATTTTCCTGGTTTGCTTTGGATCATGACAAGAATCATCATTAATCATATATCAAGAATAAGCCCACTCCTACAGTTCTTTATGCACAATTTAATGTACCAGCCTTTCCCTAGGTAAAATTCCAAGGTATCACTTTTACAAATATTCTCAGAAAAATATCAAATATGGGCATTGAATAAAGGCATACAGTGCCTATGAGGGCAGGCAGACACTCACTCAATCGTCGTTTGTTGACAAGTGGTAATTGAAAAAATGACATTTGTAAAACAAGGTACATTAGAACCCGAAGAAAGTCACTTCTAATTCAATTCCTTGAATCAATGGACCGTAATATATTAAAGAAACTTGTGTATAAACATACAGTGCTATAATGCTATGTGTATACAGTAACATATAACACTATTAGTTTAAAATAAAATGTTATAAGAATAACAGACATCATTATGTATTTATAACATAGATCATTATATCACTTGATTACACTGCTTTTGAGTAAACTGGTTATTCTTAGATGTAAAAAGAAAAATTACCCTGTATAATTGTTACATAGAATCTTATGATCTTTATTTCACTGTAGAGTAATCTTAATTCATTTCTTCATCTCCCCTGGGCCTTCACTATTGTAGCCATCATGAGGGGCTTCAGTCTTTCTTTATTCAAATTTCCATTAAGAAAATAGATGCAGCTGTAGATTTACATGGAAAGAAACCAACTTACTTTACATCCTTCACACGTGTACACTCCAAAATGGATCCCAGACGACACATCATTGCACACTTTACAGAGGATCTGATCGCAATTTGCCGGCTCTTTTGAGTTCTCTTTAACTAAAAAAAGATGCAAAATAAAACCTGTAAACAACTGGCATCATAAAATTTGTTTTTCAGTGCTTTAAATTAATACGGCTGGGAAAGATTAAACTTTTCCTGGGAGAGGATAGTGTGCACCCCACTCTTTGTTAGATATGTCACTGTCTTTTTTTAGCCAGAAGGTCATATCTATGTTACAGAAGATTTAGTATATCTGTACCAATTCAAGTTTCTAATTAAAGTTTATTGTACAAATTGTATAGTAACACATAACACTGTAATTAAAGTATCAATATTAATTATTAATTAATCATTAATTTTATTATTATGGTTGTTGAATGAAAAAGTACCTTCAGCAGTTGTTATGAAATAGATATGTGCACTATATATACATCCTTTAAATTAAATAAATAAATAAGTAAGTTATGTATTTAATTATTAAAATCGTGGTCATACCTTTCCGACACATGCCCACCTCTAAACACTTCTGGTATCTGCAGCACTGGCACAGCAGCCTGGACGTTGGCGTTATTGTGCAAAGTCCATTGTTCGAGCATTTGAATTTTGGCTCTCCCTTCTTTGTGCTGCGGATAAAGAAGCTCTGAAATACCAACAGCATAGATTGAACAGATAATAACATATTTTAAATAATAGGTAAAAATAATTATAATTATTATAGTAACCGAAAGGTCCACTGATTAATCTCAGATAAGAAACTATAATACATACTCCAGGTATTGAAATTTTTTTGCTAGATGTTCTAGTGTTTTTCAGGTTTGGTCTCACACCTATTCCTATCTTATTTTGTTTTAATTTTTATTATTATGTTATGTGTTGTTGTTAAGCGCTTCAAGGTTGTTAACATTAGGCACTAATATAAATATTGACTATTTCAATAATAACAATAATAGTCAATATAAATATTGACTATTATTGTTATTATTGAAATGCATGCCATCAAATCCCAACACGATGGCATGCATTTCAATACTTGGAGTATGTATTATACTTTCTCATTATAGTATCACTGGCTGTAACCCATCTTATGGATGGGGACAAACGACTGTCTGGTGAAGGGTAATGAAGTCTCATGAGGGATAAGCCAGGCAATCACTGTGTTTATAGGATGGTCGTACGATCATTGCACAACAAATCCAATTCCCACTTCCTGTGAGCGCTAGACGACGCGACGTTTGCTGGGTGTTAGTGCCAGTCTGAACGGATAGTCATTAAAAAACGATAATTTGCGCTCGCGTCGTCGTCTTGTGATCTTCATAGAATCGTGTTGGCTGATGACCGTCGGGCACAGTAAGTAGCCGGCTTTAGGGAGTAGTTGTTTTGGTCGTGAGAAAAAATATAGAGCTTGACAGGATTTGAACCAGTACTCTGGGAATGAAAGGCAATCATTTTTACCAGCAAGCTACAGCCCGATCCAGATTGCGAGTGGAAATAAAGGTTGACTGAAATCCCACAAAATGCAGTCTTTACGCCAACATTTTCAAAACTTTCTACTTGACCATCTCACAGATGTGAATATTTTCTGGTACCCGGGCTCATGACTTAATTGATGGAGTCTCCATGAGGTTTTATTAGCTTCTGTTCTTATAAGACATCATGTAAAAGTAAAGCTTGAACAACACAAAGGTCGAAATGTATATTTTTATTATTATTATTTTATTTTTTATTTATTTATTTATTTTTTACATTTTTAAAAATTATTATTATTTTTTTATTTTATTATTTTTTTTTTTATTTTTACTTTTTTTTGTACATTTTTTTTTTTAAGTGCTGAAGAACAGAGCAGTGACACTGGTTCTTTCTGCTGTCTTCTCATTGTCTCTGTGGTTGTTTGCTTTTGTTATTCTTAGGATATTTCTCGGCTTTTTTTTCTGCTTCCTAGACTTTGCATTTCAAGCACATAGAGACTATTGCCTCTTTACAGCTGCTAGGTAGTCACGGACTCCGCCCATACGCAATTCAGCACAATGACGCTGCAAGTTATGGGTTATTCTCCTACCTTTACCTTTTAACTATGCCATGTGCTGATTAAATAATAATAATAATAATAGTGTAGTTTTATATAGCGCAAATATCCATCTGCTGTAAGATGCTCAGGGCGCTTGATATGTGAACTCGATCAACGATTATAGGTTTTGTCTTCAAAAATGATGATATTATGCCATTTGATTACCCTAACTCATGCCACCAAGCTATCAAGTTTTGTTTTTTATAAAGCAGGTGGGAAAAATACTCCCTTCCTGAAGGTTCTTATCTCAACATAAAAGTACGGGCCAGAGTTCTGTTTCATAAAAAAATTGTTGAACTGGTTTACTTTGATATTAAGTATTCTAGTTGTTGGGTCTGGTCCAAATCCTTATTGATAAGACAAAAATAACAAAATCTGTACAGGTTTATAAGATCTGAAGGTATCAATTACCATCCTAAAACAATATTTAGAGATAATACATTCCAAAACGTCCCAGAAAAAAATTAAAATTCCATGTTGCTCTAGGTGCGGCTAGCCGCTCGACCCTACCAGGGCTCTGTACCTAGACCTCAATTGCCTCTGCTGAGACTGATAAGCCCTGCATGAAAAAAACAAACTTTATTCTGGATACTCAAATAACATTGTTTTCTCTAAAAAAATTAGATATAAAATTATTTTAATATATATATAACTTAACAACTTATATAAAATGTAAAGCAAAAATTTCATCACAATAGCACACTAATCTGTAGAAACAAAACAAATTATGGAATTATTTTAAAAGATTGCTATGTGAGAGAACTAATGATGCTCTAGAAAGATCATTCCAAATTCTGCAATAATGATCATTGCCAAGACTAATTTGTTTTTGGATATGCCTCTCATATCTTAAGCCAAGCACTCACTGAGTGGTATGACCGTCGAATCCAAATCTGCTCCCTTTGAGCGCTAGGTGACGCGGCGATTCTGTGTGACCTAGTAATATTAACATTTTACACAACTTGTCTATACAATATGTTATATTTATATAGCGTTTAATGCCAACAAGGCCTCTAAGCGCTTCTCATTACTACCCCCGGTCGTTGGATTAGACGCCTATGGAACACAAGCTGTTCCATAAAGTTGCAACAGCTACATCAGCGCATTTTGGCATTTAACCCTACCAGGTACCCATTTATACTCCTGGGTGGAGAGAAGCAATGTAGATAAAATGTCTTGCCCAAGGACACAAGCGAAATGCACAGCAAGGGTAATGAAACCCCGACCTCGAGGTTGGTAACCAAACCGTTCCCACTGCGCCAAACTTCTATATTTCATTTCATTTTCATTTCATATGGACTTGCACAGATTTGATGAAAAACACCCTTGAGTGTATCAAGTTCTCTGTGTTGAAATAAAGTATTTATTATTATTATTATTATTATTATTATTTTTTCATGAAAATTATCATATTTTTCTAAAAATTTTCCTAAGTAGCAGCATTCCCAATGAATATTGTAACATACCCTGCTTTGATGATCGTGATTCAGCGACGGTATTATTCCGTCGTCTGCAAAAATGAATTCAATAATAAAATACAACAGCATTGTCTTCCAGCGAGTCTTTGGCTCATCTTCGCTGAAAATTATCCCGAAGTAATAATCCTGTTTGCAACATGAATGGTCAGTGTGTAATAAGCTATCATCAAAGCAGATACAGTATAATAACACTGTAATCACGTCAAAGAGGATCAGCTTACCCTAATCAGACCTCGTCAAATGTCCCAACAAGAGATGTAAAAAATTGCACCGAAGTAATTAACCAATCAGAAACATAGTTTCTATTCTGGGTTATTCTAATATCATAAAGGGTATAAATTTTTTTTTTTATTTCCTTCACATCCAACTGCAAGTACACTTGTCACTTACAGGATGAGAAAGATGCTTTATAAACTAAGTCTCTTGAGGCTTAGAGAGTGGAGTTGGTTTTGGTCGTGAGAAAAATTCCTGCTGTGACAGGAATTGAACCCAGGACCCTGGGAACAGAAGGCAAGCATCTTAACCAGTGAGCTATTCAACTCCACTCCAAATACTAAGCAGAATGGGACACGCCATTTTGTTACACAATATTCAGGCCCAGTCAAAATGCTCAAATAATAAGCATGGCCATTTTTATTAAATACAGTTATAAAATTCTAAGCTGGTGGAATATATTTATTTTCCCTTTCAAAAGCCTTAAAAAATACTGTAATTTATAAAAATTGCAATATGCAAACTACTTTTAAACATATAATATGCTTGGAATGACATGCTCAATTTAGAAAAGGTGATCCTTTTTTCAAAATTTATCAGTTGGTTTATACTCTATTGAAAATTTTAAAATGTCAATTCACTCTATTGACACACAAAGCGATTTCTCATTAGCAAAAGTGGGAAATCTTGCATGTCGGAAATTAAGAACATTGTTTCTTATGTTGACACAGTGAAAAAACATGCAGTGTAATGGCAGAACGAATTATATATATTTCATACAAATACAAGTTGAGATTATACAAACCTTGCAGGCTTCGCAAATCAGTGCACCAAAATATTTTCCTGCTGCCTGATCACCACAGACTACACAAAGTATGGTGGGAACATGTGGAGTAGAGCTAGCGACTGATGAAATGGTTCTGTCAGAAATAACATAGCTATTTGTTGTGGGTAGCATCAATTCTGGATGGATAATTGATGGTTGAGCATGTGCCATACTACGATGAAAAAAAAAACCAATTAATTAATTCAAAATCAAACTTATTCACACAATGATTATTGTTAGCAGCAGTTGACCCAGGATTTTAAGAACCGGGGATTAGGAAGATTCTAAATCTACTTTAGCAGGGAAAGTTTAAATTTTTGATGGTCAGTAGGTGGGAAAATGGAACAATAAATGAATATACATAAATGAAAGTAATGAGGCCTTTGGCGGCCAAACAAAGTGTACACTGAAGACTTTAATTACGTAGAAGTTGGAGAAAATGCTGTGACTTCAGCCGCAACAAATTCTAACAAGAGCAAGAGCTCACCGGTCCGCGCATTCCTCCACTCTTAAATACGTTACAGGCACAACTTATTATATTGGGGTTTTTGGAAGAGAAGATAGAAATTTTTTAATAATTAGAATGTTTATTTGTACAAAATAAATTATTATTTAGAATGTTCATTTGTACAAAATTAAAATATCTTAAAATTGAAAAAAATAAAATTTCTGAAAATTGGAAATAAAAAAAGATTGAATACCAAGATGCGATTCGAACTCACAACCTGAAGTGCTTTAGAACACATCCTTAACCGACCGTGCCATCCACGCGACATGTCCTATTAGTGGTGATGGCAGTAATGTACAGTCTGGGGTCCAACTTAAAAATTTGTTGGAAATCTCCTCTAGTTTATGTGTGCAAAATTTCCTCCACGTCCGTTCAAAACTGGCGATGCAAACAAGAACAGCAGGGAGGCTCTAGGGTCAGCGCCTTGCGTGGACCCAAAAATGACATCACTCCAAAGAGGCTCTGAGCAGTTAAATTAGACCATGACTGAAGCAACACTGCCAAGGCTAGGGAACATATGTCAGTATAAATATCCATACTAGGCCCAAATTTTTAAGACTTGAAAAGTGGGTCAAGTGGACAGCGGCACAAAAGAGCAGTTAAAACACCAATTATGATCCTCTCAGATACAAACTGCCTACTGTATTTTACAAAATGTCATTTACTACGATATGTCGTTACAAACAATCTTTTAAACTTAACAAATCAAAAAGTTATATTAAGAAAATCCTTAAGAGAGTATATATACTGTCTCTTATACACATCTAAAGCCGCATTGAGTACAGCAGAAATAAATATGCGATTTTGTCAGTACGGTAGTGATTCCTGCAAATTGTTGATAAGCCCATAGGTCTTTGCGATAATTGAAAATGCATCTAAATTACATTGCCTCATTACATATTCAACAGGAAGTAACCAAGCATGTCAATTCTTGGAACAAGTACCATAATAGAATGACCTCATAGGACATGGTCATTTGGTCAACAAGTAATCATTTTTCATGGTCAAGCCAAGTAGATGCTAAGCACCTTTTACAAGAGATCAATGATTTTCAAAAGAACATTCAAACATACGCTACAGAATTTCCCTTTGGATCTTAAATATTGGCGGGATCTTGAAAAAGCAGGTTCCATTCATGAAGGGAGCAAATAGTACCACACAATTTGTTAAAAATTTGTTGAATAACTCACAAGCACCTACAGTAGGCCTAAAAACGAATGTTTTCAACAAGATCGAAGTTTACTTCCTTACCTTACAAATTTCCCACATCCACATTCGCAACACATAGGCCTACTTATCTAGGCCTTAGCCAAATATAGGCACACACATATACACCAATTGCTTGTAGGCCTACAGTACAGAATGTTTGGTTTATACTAAATTGTCAGGGTGTTTGTATTTGTGAATAAAAATATAAAATAAAAATGTTGAGGTTTTTAAATAATTTGGCATTCAAAAACTTTCACACATACATTTGAAACTTGTTTATGGTTGGCCAATTATAAATTTGTAATAATATTTACACTATCATTAATATCACTTCAGTCTTTGATAATTCTATTAATAGATGTCTCAACAACAAGAAGTTCCTGGTTATAACTGGATTATATCATTATTTTGAATACTGATGAGCTATTAATAGCTACAGTAGTTGGCCTTTTGGCAGATTGATGAGGTGTACTGCTGCTTCTGTGTCTTTAAATACTTCTGTGTCTTTAAATACTTTAGTCTTTTTTTATGATTACTTTTAGGTTAGATGCTATGTTTGATTAAATTCTTTAAACAAGTTTGTTTAAAGCGCTTGGAGACAATGTACTGTATATTGTGGAGAAGATGCTACAGAAATATAGTACCCTTTTCCATAATAAACACAGTAGAACCTGAATTAAAGGATACATTCGGGACCAAAGAAGTGTCCCCTTAATAGGGGTATCCCCTGAATAGGGTGTCCAAAAGAAGGTGTTCTACTGTATACAGACTATAATATACATACTAGAAATTGCAAATTGCAAGTGAGGTGCTGCGAAGTACAACTGCATACAATGTTCTTCGAACAAAATTATTTATGCGAGTCAAGTGAAAATAATGAATAATAAAAATATAACAAATAATATGAGCACGACCCATTGTCTATATATTATTAGAACAGCGTTGGTACAATAGTGTTTTTATAATGCAGTGACATCTCTCTGCTGGCGATGGCTCGCTGCTGCTGGCGATGACTCGCTGCTGGCGAATCGATCTGCGCATGTGTATAAAATGGTATTTATTTCCGCAAACACTATGCCAGTCTACAACAAGGCGTCGCCTAAATGTAATAATTAGCACGTTGAAATAGGCTAGTAAATAAGTTTAACTGGGTTCGTAAATAATATTGTCCTCAAAATATTGTGGCTGTGACATGAGCCAATTAAACGTAGAAATAGGAAACCTAGAAATATAGTAAAAACGCTGAATAGTACTCCAGCGTCGCGACATGCCGACGTTGGTACGAGTAGGTTAGTCTACAAACGTCACCTAAAGTAATTGATTTTACGCGGCAGAACGAAAGAAGGAAACTGGATCCGCTTTTCAGTTGTCTCAGGCGATTGATTTTTGACAAACAATGACCTTTCAGAGGTCAAATTGCTGTCAAGAATATGAATTGGCTGCTTCGCAGCAAATATTCAATAACTACACCCATCACTACATTTGATATAGAAGTCATGCACTCCCACACACAACAACATCGTGTATGTTGGGATAAATCTGAACTGATAGCCACTGTACCATCTTGGCATTCCAGACGGACCAGAGAAGCTATAGAAATTCACAAACACGATACAGTACATCAAGATATTGGATTTGTCATCAGCGATATTTGGTTGTCCATGTTTAACAGGACCTAAACCAAATTTTTCCCGCCAAATCTTTCCCTCTACACTGGAAACTATGCCATTGTTTTGGCTTTCCTTCCCCCAGCTAGAACAATGCCACTGTCTTGGCTTTCTAGCCACGCCCCGCCCTTCTATTCAGACCGTGAATTTTAGCTTTTGTATAGCTTTTCACTGGTAGGCTCAGCCTTTGTTTAGTTTTCAACCAATCAATCAATCACCATCTCTCAAACATATAAGTATTTCCCTGTTTGAGATCTCTGCAGATATTATTCTCCTGAAGACGGTTGAAGCAAGTCAACCGAAACGTCGAGATATTCTCAACCAACAACAACAGTTCTTTTCAGAACTATCTACGTGGTGTACCGCAAGCATTAATTATATATTATACTTCGCCATGCAAACCTTCAAACAATATTTTACATTTCATATCTCGTAAGCGCCCAACTTTCATAAGAAACCGCAATTACTTTTGAGTTTAAAAACTGGACTGTGGCATTTAAGGAGGTCAAGAAATGTTTTTATTTGAAACAAACATAACTTAAACACAGAGGTTTTACAAAAGCCTATTAAATTAAAACTTCGCCATCCTACATTGTAGAGCTCATCACACCATATTGTCCTCCTAGGCAATTAAGATCCTCTACACAGAGGAAACTTAACATCTCTAAACCGGCTACTATTTTCATTGGTAATAGATCATTCATCTTTTCTGCTGCTCGTCTTTGGAATGCTCTTCCACAAGCTATTAAAGACACAGAGTCAATTGACATGTATAAAAAATGTCTAAAGCATCATATTTTTAAGACTTACTTTGCTCCTCTTGCTTAACATCGAAAACTGATTGAATCTGATTGTTATATTTTTCCTCAAAATTCACTACTCTAATTTTTTGTTGGTAAGATAGGATAGTCAGAAGCCACTTTCACTCAAACTCCTGTGAGTTCTGTTCCAGAGAGCTCTCAATTATGGGAGCTTGAAAGTACTGGAGAGCGGAGCAGTGAAAAGGGTTCCTCTGCGTTTATTTTATTTTTTGGTTACTGTTAGGGTATTTTATGGCATCATTCCTTTTTTTCATGTTCTTTTATGTGGAAAGCGCTTAGAAGCATTGTTTTGCATTAAGCGCTCTACAAGACTAACATAATTATTATTATTATTATTGTTATTATTATTATTATTATTATTATGTTGTATTGAATAATTTTACTTGAAATCAGATATCGTATTTAAGTTTGGGCCTCACATTGGTGTATATATTCGTAAGTCTTCATCTCTCGTAAGGGATCATTTCACCTAGACCTAAGGCGGTTGCTTACAAGAGTTTTAACCGTAGTGTTGCTGTACCATTTGGCTGTGATGAAATTGGATTAAAAAAAACCCATAAAAATTCAATTAAAACATTGAATTTCCTCATTTATACAAGGATCAATTAACAACAATAAGCAATAATAATATTTTTGATTAATATATTAATTGGAAAAAAAAAGCTTACACACTGTTACTGAGTAAACAACTTAAATATCATATTTAAACAATGTATACAGAATATCTTCCAAGATAGTCTGTAATATGCTAAAATAGAATATATAAATGAACATTTTGAATTGCTTAGTTTGAATAAATTAAAATGATTTTAGTAAAAAAAATTGTAAGTCAGCAAAGAATTATCTGGTTTCCTCTATGTTTTGTTTAAATTGGATTTAAGAAGTTTTTATAGATTTTATGACAGACAGCATAATGAGGAGAGAATACATGGAAAGAATATAATTAACTTACTACGGTACATACAAG